GAGCGAGTTGCCAAAGTGCTCGCTAGCGCAGTATGCCGCCAGCAACACCATCACCATGCTATCATGCTCGTCCTTGTTATCGTCAACATCATCACCAACACCGCCGACATCATCATTCTCGTGCCAGAATCATCACCACGACCATTGCGACCTTCACACATGTTGTCACCGTCGTCTTCCAAATCGTGACCAGCACTACGGTAAAGCCCTGCCCCAAAATGCTGTGCTTTCACAGGCTACCGAAAAAGAAAACGACAGCTAAATGGCCATTACCGCCTGGTAACGCGAAGTCGTCCCTCCTTCCTGAACTTCTTTTGGGCATGTCCGTGCTACCTCCAACGAAACTCGGAACCAATAAACTTTCGAACCCCATATAAAGCCCACAAAAAAAACACTATTAAACCCGAAACCCTAAACAACAAGTACCAAAACAAAACACTGTACTTCGACCCGACATCCTCCACAGCAGCTATCTCTTTATCCGCGGCTTCCATGGCAGCCACCGGATTTTCCTGATCGCCTGCGTGATCGGTCGACTGTTTTTCGGGTTTGGGGTTGCCCTTCATTTAGGCCTGGGCCATCAAGTGCCGCTCCTTACTGCCGAGCAGCACTGATCCCAGAAAGGTGCAGAAAGGGTTTAGGGTTTCAGGGTTTAGGATTTCGGGAACAGTACACAGAATAGGTCCCATGCTTAGCCAAGACAACCTCTTCCTCCCTCCCGAAAGGCCTAAGGCCTCCCTCTATCCGAAACCCTAAACCCTAAAACCCTAAAACCCTAATACTTATATCCGAAACCCTGAACGGCCCTAAATCCTAAACCCAACATCCGAAAACATAAACCTCAAACCCTACATCCGAAACCCGAAGCTCGGAAGCGAACAGCCGCCTCCCAGTGAGAGGATGAGGCCCTCGGCAGCAGGAAGCGCTTTGTTCAGCGCCTGGGCAGGGAGTCATGTAATATAGGGGCCTTCATAATTAGAATAGGGTTTTTTGAGGGGTTCGTTTAAAGAGTTCCTCAAAGGGTTCTATAAGGGTGACTTACTATAAGGGTTCTATAAGATAGGGGCCTTAATAGTGAGAATAGGGTTTTTGGATATATTAGACTATAATTGCAATAAGGAGCCCCCAAAATACTATTGGTAATATTTAGGCTTCTATATTAGGGACGTTAGAAAACAGAACGGAGTTTTGGGCTCCTGAAAAGTATGTTCACCATAAGGAACCCTAAGGAATAAGGTTTAGGGTTTAAGGTTTAAGGTTTAGGGTTTAGGGAATAATGTTGGCAACGATTTTGGCTGGGAGCCATAGCAAGGGTCCAAAGTTTAGGACTTAGAGCTTAAGGGGTTGGGCAGTAGGATGGCAGGGTTCAGGGCTAAGGGCCTCTAGGGCTTAGGCTTTAGGGTTTAGGGTTTCGGGTTTCGGGTTTAGGGTTTCCTGTTTAGGCCTAGCATTTCAACATGATGATAAACCCTCAGCCCTAAACCCTAAACCCTGAACCCTAAACCCTAAACCCCACACCCTACACCGGGACAACCGAAGCCAACCAAGCAGATGCCAGGAAGAGTAAGCCCTCAACCCGAACTCCCAAAAACTCATGGGAACAAGCATATGGGTAGTTCTCTAAATT